TATGTATTTTATATATTTATATAAAGAATTAACTAAAAAGTATCATAGGATTATCATTTTAGTAGGTATTTAGTAGGTGGCATGCCCCATCACACCCGGCTAATTTTTGTATTCTTAGTAGAGATAGGGTTTCACCATGTTGCCCAGGCTGGTCTCGAACTCCTGAGCTCAGGCAATCCGCCCACCTAGGCCTCCTAGAGTGCTAGGATTACAGCCGTGAGCCACCGCGCCCGGCCTTTAGTAGGTATTTTTGATAGCAAAATCTGGATTGCAGTTTGTTTTCAAATTTTCCATTCATGGCCAGGCATGGTGGGTCATGCCTGTGATCCTAGCACTTTGGGAAGCCAAGGCAGAACAATTGCTTGAGTCCAGGAATTCAAGACAAGCCTGCGCAACATGACGAAACCGTCTCTTAGCGAGGCATGGTGGTACAAGCCTACAGTCCCAGCTACTTGGGAGGCTGAGGCAGGAGGATCACTTGAGTCTGGGAGGTAGAGGTTACAGTGAGCCAAGATCATGCCAGTGCGCTGCAGCCTGGGGGACAGAGTAAGACTCTGTCTCAAAAAAACCAAAAATTTCTATTTATTACTAAGGATATCAGTTATCATCAGTGCCACCACTAAACTGCAGGGATTTGGGAAGGCAGAGTAATTTAAACATTAATCAGGATAAAGGTATAAAGATGAATTTCCTGTTTCTGCACAATCATGAGATGCATTCCAAATTAAATATAAATAGGTCGGGTGTGGTGGCTCATGCTTGTAATCCCAGCACTTTGGGAGGCCAAGGTGGGGTGGATCGCTTGATGTCAGGAGTTCAAGACCAGCCTGGCCAGCACAACCCTCCTAAATCCTGATCTAAAGAGTTTACTTATATAAACTTCTGAATAAGTAACAAGCATTTCACTGATATGCCTTTTTCTTTCCAAAATCAACAGCATCCATGCACATTTTACTTCATTTAATATTCGGTTTTATGTTGAGGAGAAGGAAGCAATTAAGATTTTTTAACGCCGGGCGTGGTGGCTCACACCTGTAATCCCAGCACTTTGGGAGGTAGAGGCAGGCGAATCGTTTGAACCCAGGAGGCGGTGGTTGCAGTGAGCCGAGATCAGGCCATTGTACTCCATTGTGCAATGGCGCAATCTTGGCTCATTGCGACCTCCGCCTCCTGGGTTCAAGCAATTCGCCTGCCTCAGCTTCCCGAGTAGCTGGGAGCAACAGCAAGATTCCATCTCAGGAAAAAAAAAAAAAAAAAAAAAGCTGGGCATGGGCCTGTAATCCCAGCTACTCAGGAGGGTGAGGCACAAGAATCGCTTGAACCCTGCAAGTGGAGGTTGGAGGTTGCAGTGAGCCGAGGCTGAGCCACTGCACTCCAGTCCGGGTGAAAGAGTGAGACTCTGTCTCAAACAAAAACAAAAAAATCTTTTTAAAAATCTAAATCTAAAAAACAAAATCTTAAAAAAAGTCTAAGGCTTTAAAATTTATTTTTATTTGGGGCAGCCTGCATTCTATACACTAGAATGAAAGCTCCTTCAATTATTAAAAGTATTATTGGATGATGGGAAACAAGAAGCCCACTTGCCACTTCAGAAAAGAATATCCTTTAAAGCAGTTGACTAATACTTATAAGACCTGAATTTGTCTTATAAATGTTCTCCTTTCCTTTATCTGCACCAATTAAGCATTGGGTAGACTAATCAGCTAAAGAGGGATAGCTAGGTAGACTGCTTTATAAGATGATATTGGGGCAGTCAGCTCTATTATATGATAGTTTAGGAATTTCAATTTGCAGTTATCCACATAAAGAGGAAAGAAAGTCGAGTAGGTCTGCCAAAAGCTACATGACAAACATGATATTGGCACATGGGAATCAAAGCAAAGAATCTCTATCCAAAATATGCTTTGCTTATCATTCCAGATCTGGGTCTGGAGAATTTCAGTAGTTAGACTAAAGACCAACTCAACTGGGTGCAGTGGTTCACGCCTGTAATCCCAGCACTTTGGGTGGCTGAGGCGGGTGGTTCACAAGGTCAGGAGTTTGAGACCAGCCTGGCCAATATGGTGAAATCCCGTCTCTACTACAAATATAAAAATTAGCTGGGTGTGATGGTAGGCGCCTGTAGTCCCAGCTACTCGGGAGGCTAAGGCAGGAGAATTGCCTGAACCCAGGAGGTTGTAGTGAGCTGAGATTGGGCTACTGCACTCCAGCCTGGGCGACAGAGTGAGACTGCATCTCAAAAAAAAAAAAGTTGTTTTAATCAGTGTGACTGAACCAATATGAATCCAAAAGATCGTGAATGTTCTGATTACATGTATATATAAATTTATTATAAAGTTTTTGTATCATCCAGCTGAATGCAAAATTATTTTAAATAACTGTTGATAGCCTATACAATGAAGATCACTATTGCCCCCTGGTGGGCATGTTGGGGTCAAACTTTGCTAAGAAATTATGTTTTCATTTAATAGCTATTATTGAAACCCTAGTATAAAATGGACCTTCAAATACAAATTCTCAAACTCTCACAACAACTTCATAAAGTAGGTATTATTATATCCTAATTTTACTGATAAGTAAACAAGGCACAGAAAAATATGAAGTTTTCCTAGGGTCAAGCAGCTAGTCAACCAATAATTATTTCAGCACAATTCTGATTCCAAAATTCCCCGTATATCACATATTGTTTCTTCTCTTTTACCACACTACCGCTCAATATCAATAGCTTAGTCAAGATCTTTCCTTTGACATTATACAAACTTAACTAAGGATACTGTTATTTCAAATAAAAGAAACAGAAAAAGAAACCAATAGTCAATTGGAAAATGTATTTAAATGAGGACACAAGTTATTTCATTGTAAAACAAATATCTGTAAAAGGAGATGCTGACTGAAAGGCCAGGGGTGGTGGCTCATGCCTGTAATCCCAGCACTTTGGGAGGCTGAGGCGGATAGATCACGAGGTCAGGAGATCGAGACTATCCTGGCTAACACGGTGAAACCCCGTCTCTAGTAAAAACACAAAAATTAGCCGGGCGTGGTGGCACGCGCCTGTAGGCCCAGCTACTCAGGAGGCTGAGGCAGGAGAATTACTTGAACCCGAGAGGCAGAGGTTGAAGTGAGCCAAGATTATGCCACTGCACTCCAGCCTGGGAAACAGAGTTAGACTCCAACTTGGAGAAAAAAAAAAAGGGCCGGGCGCGGTGGCTCAAGCCTGTAATCCCAGCACTTTGGGAGGCCGAGATGGGTGGATCACGAGGTCAGGAGATCGAGACCATCCTGGCTAACACGGTGAAACCCCATCTCTACTAAAAATACAAAAAAATTAGCCGGGCGTGGTGGCAGGCGCCTGTAGTCCCAGCTACTTGGGAGGCTGAGGCAGGAGAATGGCGTGAACCCAGGAGGCGGAGCTTGCAGTGAGCCGAGATAGTGCCACTGCACTCCAGCCTGGGTGACAGAGCAAGACTCCGCCTCAAAAAAAAAAAAAAAAAAAAAAAGGAGATGCTGAAAATAAACTCATTCATTCTTATTTAGATAGATGGTTTTGTTGAAAACATACAGGTTTCTTTTTTCTTTCTTTTTTTTTTTTTTTGAGATGAAGTTTCACTCGCGTTGCCCAGGCTGGAGCACAATGGCGCCATCTTGGCTCACCGCAACCTCCTCCTCCCCAGGTTCAAGCGATTCTCCTGCTTCAGCCTCCCAAGTAGCTGGGATTACAGGCACCCGCCACCACATCCAGCTAATTTTTGTATATTTAGTAGAGATGGGCTTCCATCATGTTGACCAGGATGGTCTTAAACTTCTGACCTCAGGTGATCCACCCGCCTTGGCCTCCCAAAGTGCTGGGACTACAGGCAAGAGGCACCACGCCGAGTTAAAAACATACAGGTTTCAAAAGATCAACACCAAGTAGTTTTCTCTGCTATTTTCTTTTTATATATGCACTCAAGAACAAATCCAGACTCATTCACAAAATCAGATAATCAGATAATCACATTTACCTCTTTTATATCAGTACTCCAAAAGCCACTTATGTTTATTCTGCTTTGTTACTGCTTTAAACTATTAATGTTTATTTCCCTTATCAATATCATGTCGAGGCACCTTCATATTTTCATTTTTGGTCTAGGCATAACCCTTCAATAGATTAATCTGTAGAATATTTTCCTTTTGGCCGGGCGTGGTGGCTCAAGCCTGTAATCCCAGCACTTTGGGAGGCCGAGACGGGCGGATCACGAGGTCAGGAGATCGAGACCATCCTGGCTAACACAGTGAAACCCCGTCTCTACTAAAAAATACAAAAAACTAGCCGGGCGAGGTGGCGGGCGCCTGTAGACCCAGCTACTCGGGAGGCTGAGGCAGGAGAATGGCGTAAACTCGGGAGGCGGAGTTTGCAGTGAGCTGAGATCCGGCCACTGCACTCCAGCGCGGGCGACAGACCAAGACTCCGTCTCAAAAAAAAAAAAAAAAAAAAAAAAAAAGAATATTTTCCTTTTTTTTAGAGACAGGGTCTTGCTGTGTCACCCAGGCCGGAGTGCAGTGGCACAATCATAACTCACAGTAAGTCCAACTCCTGAGCTCACGAGATCCTCCCATGTCAGCCTCCTGAGTAGCTGGGACTACAGGTATGCATCAACATGCCCACCTAATTTATTTTTAGTAGAGGATGGGGTCTCTCTATGTTGCCCAGACCAGGGTGGCCTCAAGCAATCTTCCCACCTTGGCCTCCCAAAGCATTGGGATTACAGATATGAGCCACTGTGCCCAAGCCAGAATATTCTACTTTTAACATAATAAGTATTCCTTTGTAACTCCTATGTATGATTTTCCCTTCCCCAGAAAGAATAAGTACCTTAGCTTTAAAATCTATTACAAATCTTCTGCTTTGGCAATATTTTAATTATGGAGTATTAGAAAGGGTATCATATTCATCTCTTAGAAAATCTAGGGTTCTGTTCATTTTTGAGTCTAAAATAAATTTCATGTTATCAGAACATTACCTGAGGTTGTTTTGGTGTTGGCTGAAGAAACAAAGCTTGCGAGGTTAACAACCTCTCCCGATGTGAAGATGAATGGAGCAGCCATAGTCACAGGGTCAGTCACAGGGTTGGCTCTCTCTGGATTAACATTCACCTGATTCTGCATTGCTTCCTACCAAACAAGGCAGGATATTTCAGTCAGAACACTTATTAGCTTTTCTTTTCTTTCTTTCTTTTTTTTTTTTTTTTGAGACAGTCTCGCTCTGTTGCCCAGGCTGGAGTGCAGTGGCATGATCTCGGCTCACTGCAACCTCCGCTTCCTGGGTTCAGGCAATTCTCATGCCTCAGCCTCCCAAGCAGCTGAGATTACAGGCATGTGCCACTACGCCCAGCTAATTTTTTGTATTTTTAGTAGATACGGGGTTTTGCCACGTTGCCCAAGCTGGTCTGGAACTCCTGGGCTCAGGCAAATTGCCCGCCTTGGCCTCCTAAAGTGGTAGGATTACAGGCATGAGCCACCATGCCCAACCCAAGAACACTTATTAGCTTTAGTTACACAGTTACTGAACAGCATATTCCACTCCCACCCCAATGCTCTATCAGTCATAACTGGTTCCCATATACAATGTCCCACCGGAGATCAGAGTTCTCATTAAGACTACCTTTTTTTTTCAGACCAGGCCAACAGAGTTGTTAGGTTGCTTTCCAAAGCTTGTTTCTACTTCAGGAAAGCAAAGGTGTATTATCTGCAAAAACTTCTAGACAATTCATTTAACCTCTATGAATCTTGTTTTTTTCATTTGAAAAATGAGGGAGTCAGGCCAGGTGCAGTGGCTCATGCCTGTAATCCCACCACTTTGCAAGGCTAAGGCGGGTGGATCACTTGAGGTCAGGAGTTTGAGACCAGCCTGGCCAACATGGTGAAACCCCTGTCTCTACTACAAAAGTATCAGCTGGGCATCGTGGTGGGTGCTTGTAATCCCAGCTACTCGGGAGGCTAAGGCAGGAGAATTGCTTGAAACCAGGAGGCCGAGATTGCAGTGAGCCAAAATAGCGTCATTATACTCCAGCCTGGGTGACAGAGTGAGACTCCGTCTCAAAAAAAGAAAAAAGAAAAATGAGGTAGTTGATCTGAATAGTCTAAAAAGTAATTTCCAGCCGGGCGTGGTGGCTCACGCCTGTAATCCCAGCACTTTGGGAGGCTGAAGTGGGTGGATCACAAGGTCGGGAGATCGAGATCATCCTGGCTAAAACTCACTCACTGCACTCCAGCCTGGGCAACAGAGTGAGACTCCATCTCAAAAATAAAAAAATAAAAATAAAAATAAAAAATAAAAAGTAATTTCCAGCACTAATATTTTGTGATTAATTATCTACAAGTCAGTGTGCTAGCAAGAGATCCCTGCAGAGTATCTACAGAGAACAATACTCTCTAGAGTTTTATCCAACTACTTGTTCCATTCTGCCATTGAAGAAATTCCTAAGAGAATATATAACAAGCAAATAAGTGCCAGATTTTAAAGTCTCGCTCCATATGCTGTACTTTTGCTTCCAGGGATATCTGTTCAATTATGGTGAAAAGTAGCTTATCTTTATTTTATTACTTTCAGAAGCAATTTTCTGCAAGCATAATCACTACTTTAAAAAGTCCAGTTATGAAAGGGCTCTAAACAAAGAATTGAAAGTTGAAGGGGCTAACCAGTCTATAGACCACCTGTCAGTTAAAAAAAAAAATACTGAAAATGCAGCAGAAATGGCTTGCTTGCTTGCTTTCTCTCTCTCTCTCTTCCTTTTTTTTTTTTTTTTTTTTTTTTTTGAGACGGAGTCCTGCTCTGTCGCCCAGGCTGGAGTGCAGTGGTGCGATCTCGGCTCACTGCAACCTCCACCTCCACGGTTCCTGCCTCAGCCTCCCAAGTAGCTGGGACTACAGGCGCACATTGCCATGCCTGGCTAATTTCTTTTGTATTTTAGTAGAGACAGGGTTTCATCGAGTTGCCCAGGCTGGCCTTGAACTCCTGAGCTCAGGCAATCCACCCTCCTCAGCCTCCCAAAGTGTTAGGATTATAGGTATGAGCCACCATGCCCAGCCAGAAACGACTATTTTTTATATATAATTATCCCCTTGACTAAGAGCTTCAATTGAAACAGGTTATCCATTCTTTGGATATTGTCAAATTCCTTCTTGGTTTTTTTTGAGAGTCTCACCCTGTCTCCCAGGCTTGAGTACAGTGGCACGATCTCAGCTCACTACAACCTCCACCTCCCAAGTTCAACCTCCTGCCTCCGTCTCCCAAGTAGCTGGGATTACAGGCACCTACCACCAAACCAGCTAATTTTTGTATTTTTAGTAAAGATGAGGTTTCACCATGTTGGCCAGACTGGGCTTGAACTCCTGACCTCAGGTGATTCACCCGCCTCGGCCTCCCAAAGTGCTAGGATTTCAGGTGTGAGCTACCGTGCCTGGCCTAAATTCCTTCTTGAATTTGCTGTTTTCCTTTATCCTCCACTAGGACATGAAGTGCTCACAGCATGATAAAATTAAAGATACGAAATAAAATATTATAATATTACATGATAAACAGACATCTAGTGAGTGCTATGGGAGCACACAGGAGGGAAGAGTAGTACTGCTACATGGTGAAATAGTAGCACTTCCTTGGTTCAATTTCTCATTGGCCCTTGCCTGGTCTAATGAAAGTCACCATATAGTTATTTAGCATTAAGTGTCTCTCTCTCACCTGTGTGTCACATCATCTTTTTAAAACAAATTTAATCATATCAGTCCTCTATTTAAAAACTTCTATCCAAATCCATCGCTCACATAACAGTTCAAACTCCTTCACATGCTGTAAAGCATCCCTACATTCAGAATCCAGGCTAACTTTCAAGCTTAGCATCTGCCACTCCCAAACTCTGCTTCCTTTGCCCATTCTCTCATCACTCAACTACTTTTTCTTGAACATTCCATGTTCTTTCACACCTCTGTGTCTTTGATTTGCTCTTATTCTAGCCTAGAATATAGTTTTCTCACTTCTCTGCCTACTTCAATATTCCGTTCAAAACCTACTATTCCCTCCTTTGTGCTCCCATAGCACTTACTAGATATCTATTTATCATGCAATATTATAATATTTTATTTCCTGTCTTTTATCATGCTTTGAACACTTCATGTCATATTAATTTTTTTTTTTAGATGGAATCCTGCAACCTTTGCCTCCCAGGTTCAAGCGATTCTCCTGCTTCAGCCTCCCAAGTAGCTGGGATTACAGGCACACACCACCATGCCCGGCTAATTTGTTTTGCATTTTTAGTAGAAATGGGGTTTCGCCATATTGGCCAGGCTGGTCTCGAACTCCTGACCTCAGGTGATCCATCTGCCTCAGCCTCCCAAAGTGCTGGGATTACAGGCATGAGCAACCATGCCTGGCCCATGTCCTGTTAATTTTTATATCCCCTGTCCTATTGTTCCCTGATATACAGTGCTGGCTTAAGAAATTAATGGGCAGGCCGGGCACAGTTGCTCATGCCTGTAATCCCAGCACTTTGGGAGGCCGAGGCAGGCGGATCACCTGAGGTCAGGAGTTCAAGACCAGCCTGGCCAACATGGTGAAACCCATCTCTACAAAAATACAAAAATTAGCTGGGCATGATGGCAGGTGCCTGTAATCCCAGCTACCCGGGAGGCTGAGGAGGAAGAATCACTTGAATCCGAGCAGTGAGCCAAGATCATGTCATTGCACTCCAACCTGGGCGACAAAGTGAGACTCCATCTCGGAGTGGGGGGTGGGAAACAGAAATTAATGGGACACAGCTGGGCGCAGTATCCCATTAACATATATAATATATATTTATGTTATGTATATGCTATATATATAATATATATTATATATATAGTGACACTGAGTCACAAGATTGAGACATATTAGAAATGCTATTTTAATAAGATAGGGAAAATTCAGTTTTGATTCAACTCCCACAAAAAAATCCTTAACTTCAATTGACGTATACTCTGGAGAGTATAAAAAGAACCACACCTGGAGGATGACCAAAATCTCAGCATTGTTTTTCTCCAGAGCTATGTCAAAGGCAGATTTATCAAATTTGCTGAAAGCATGGACATCAGCTCCATATTTGATAAGTAACTCTACAACATCTCGATGGTGGCGCTCTGTGGCCCAGTGCAAAGCTGTCATCTTCAGCATGTCCTTGGCATTCACATCTGCACCGTTCTGTCACAGAAAAGCATTTTTTTCAACAAACAGTGGTTATAGGAGCACAGGTGCAACATCCCATCATCAAATACAGAGGATTTCCATAGATATTATGTACTCAAATCTAGATCACATTTAAGGAATATCAAAGGGAAAAACATTTCTCAAATTCTCCTAAATGCTGACAGACATAATGCTTTCAACGAGTGGGTCCTCTAAGGACATCATTGGGAAATTAAACAGATGGAAGACAAAGAGGGAAGGAACAGATTTTTGTTGCATTTATTAATAGAGAGCCAAGTGCCTGAATAAATAGGCATAAGTGCAGAGAATACCTTCAGAAAGTGAAAGAAGAAAAATCAGTAAGTCTGTTTAGCCTTTAAAAAATTAGAAAAGCTGGAACTCAGGAGTTCAAGATGAGCTTGGGGAATATGGTGAAAAAACATGCCTCTACAAAAAATTCAAAACATTAGCCGGGAGTGGTAGTACGTGCCTGTAGTCCCAGCTAAAGGGGAGGGTGAGGTGGGTGGATCTCTTGAGCCTGGGTGGTGGAGGCTGCAGTGAGCTGAGATCATACCACCGCATTCCAGCCTGGGTGACAGAGTGAGACCCCTGTCTCCAAAAAAAAAAAAAAAAAAAGACCAATAATAATAATAATAATAAATTGGAAAACTAGGCTGGGAGCAATGGCTCATGCCTATAATCTCAGCACTTTGGAAGGCTGAGGATGGAAGGATCACTTGAGGCCAGGAGTCTGAGACCAGCCTGGTCAACGTAGTGAGACCTCATCTGTAATTTTTTTTTTTTTAAAATATGATTTTTAAAAAATGGTCGAGTGCAGTGGCTCATGCCTATAATCCCAGCACTTTGGGAGGGCAAGGCGGGCAGATCACAAGGTCAAAGGATGGAGACCATCCTGGCTAACATGGTGAAACCCCATCTCTACTAAAAATACAAAAATTAGCTGGGCACGGTGGAGCACGCCTGTAGTCCCAGCTACTCGGGAGGCTGAGGCAGGAGAATCATTTGCACCTGGGAGGCAGAGGCTGCAGTGAGTTGGTATTGTGCCACTGCACTCCAGCCTGGCAACAGAGCGAGACTCCGTCTCAAAAAAAAAAAAGAAAGAAAAATATTTTAAAAACTGGCTAAGCACAGTAACCCCACACCTGTAATCCCAGTGTTGGGAGGCTGAGGCAGGAGAATTGTTTGAGGCCAGGAGTTCAAGGCCAGCCTGGGCTGGGCAATACGAGATCCTATTCTCTACAAAAAATAAAAACAAAAATAAATTAGCTGGGCGTGGTGCTGGATGCCTGTAGTCCTCCTAGCTACTTTGAAGACTGAGGCAGTAAGATTGTTTGAACCTAGGTGTTGAAAGTTACAGTGAGCTATGATCATGCCACTGCTCTCCAGCCAGGGCAAAAGAGTGAAACCCTGTATCAAATTTAAAAAATTGTTTTAGGGCCAGACACTGTGGCTCACACCTATAATTCCTGCACTTTGGGAGTCTGAGGCAGGCAGATCACAAGGTCAGGAGTTTGAGACCAGCCTGGCCAACATAGTGAAACCCTGTCTCTACTAAAAATACAAAAAGAAATATCTGAGCATGGTGGCAGGCACCTGTAATCCCAGCTACTTTGGAGGCTGAGGTAGGAGAATCGCTTGAACCCAGGAGGCGGAGATTACAATGAGCCAAGATTGTGCCACTGCACTCCAGCCTGGGCGATAGTATGAGACTTCATCTCTTTTTTTTGTTTTTTTTTGAGACAAAGTCTCGCTCTTGTCCCCCAGGCTGGAGTGCGATGGCGTGATCTTGGCTCACTGCAACCTCTGCCTCCTGGGTTCAAGCAATTCTCTTGCCTCAGTCTCCTGAGTAGCTGGGATTACAGGCGCCTGCCACCACGCCTGGCTAATTTTTGTGTTTTTAGTAGAGATGGGGTTTCACCATGTTGGCCAGGCTCCTGACCTCAAGCGATCCACCTGCCTTGGCCTCCTAAAGTGCTGGGATTACAGGAGTGAGCCACCGCGCCTGGCCAAGAGTTCATCTCAAAAAAAAAAAATAATTGTTTTAATAAATTAGAAAATAGGCATGGTGGCTCATGTCAGGAGGTCAGGAGTTTGAGACCAGCGTGGGCAACATGGTGAAACCTTGTCTCTACTAAAAATAGAAAAATTGGCTGGGCATAGTGGCGGGCGCCTGTAATCCCAGCTACTTGGGAGGCTGAGGCAGGAGAATCACTTCAACCTGGGAGGCAGAGGTTGTGGTGAGCAGAGATCGTGCCACTGCACTCCAGCCTAAGCAACAAGAGCAAGACTCTATCTCAAAAACAAAACAAAACAAAATAAATAAATAAATAAGAAAACAGACCCCTCATAGACATGAAGGCTCCTGTTTTCTTATTTATTTATTTGTTTTATTTTCTTTTTTTGTCAGATTCTTGCTCTGTCATCCAGACTGGAGTGCAGTGGCGCAATCTTGGCTCACCACACCTCCACCTCCTAGGTTCAAGTGATTCTCTTGCCTCAGCTTCCTGAGTAGCTGGGATTACAGTCACGCGCCACCACGTCCTGCTAAATTTTTTTGTTTTTTTTTAGTGGCAATGGAGTTTCACCATGTTGGTCTGGCCAGTCTCGAACTCCTGACCTTGTGATCCACCTGTCTCAGCCTCCCAAAGTGCTGGGATTACAGGCACCTGGCCTGCCATGAAGACTCTTGCAGATGCAACTTAATGCTATAAACTGTCTTAAACGTAATCCTTCCCAAGTCATTTCCTAGTACTCATTTAAGAAAACAGGAAAGTGGATGTCTTTTTTACAACATAACCTTGCCACTATTCTTGCTTTACCCGAACAAGCAGTTCCACGATGTGTGCATGTCCATCCGCAGCAGCCATGTGCAAGGGTGTCCTGTCTACTTTAGTCCGGGCATCCCTGCTAACACCTGCTCGAAGGAGTACTTCTGCTGTGGAATAATGACCATACTGAGCTGCAAGGTGGAGGGGTGATGTTCCAAGCTGTGGAAAAATAATACTCATTGAATAACCACTGTGTGCAGAGTCCTAGATCATTACTGGAGAGATACAAATGAACAAGGTATGGTGCTTGTCCTTCAAGAGAGAATCTGGTTGGGCAGATAAAACTGAAAAAATGGTTAAATTTACAAATTAAAGACCAGGGGCCGGGTGCACTGGCTCACACCTGTAATCCCAGCACTTTGGGAGGCCAACGTGGGCCGATCACCTGAGGTCAGGAGTTCAAGACCCGCCTGGCCAACATGGTGAAACCCCGTCTCTACTAAAAAATACAAAAACAGTTAGCCAGGCGTGGTGGTGGGCACCTGTAATCCCAGCTACTCAGGAGGCTGAAACAGGGAGAATTGCTTTGAACCTGGGAGGCGGAGGTTGCAGTGAGCTGAGATTGTGCCACTGCACTCCAGCCTGGGTGACAGAGGGAAACTCCGTTTCAAAAAAAAAAAAAATTAACAGCCTAATGGACAAATAAATAGACCACCAGTTGATTAAGTGCTAAGTATAATGGCTTTATGTCAGGTGGATTTATCAAGTAAGGTTCCCTAAAGGACATGACTTTACACAGCGTCTAGAAGGTTTAAAAAAAAAAAAAAAAAAAGGATCAGGGTGGATGTGGTAGCTCATGCCTGCAATCCCAGCACTTTGGGAGGTCAAGACAGGAGGACTGCTTAAGCCCAAGAGATCAAGACCAGCCTGGGCAACATAGAGAGACCTATCCCATAATAAATAAATAAAGTAAATTTTAAAAAAGAAAAAGGGTAGACACTAGAAAGTTACATGTGGAATCTGAGGTACAAATTTGACTGATTGGAAGAAAAGTTTTTTGCCACAGTAAAGCAGGGCAAAACGAATGATGATGAGATGAAGAGGCAATAAAAATTTAGCAATGATGTATCAACAGCAATAAGTAAGTCTGTCATCCCAGTGTAAATCTTGTAAGAGTTATCCATCATCATCCACTTTGGCCAGAGATCTATTCCCTTCTTTTTGTTATGCTCTTTATTTTAGGCCTGTTTAGTTTATTCTTTGCTTTTTCATATTTTCAGCCTTTCTGCCTGACTGAATTTAATTCACATTGTTCTCTCCAGGTCTATTTATAGAAATGCTAATATCATGGGTTTCCTTTTCTTTCCTTTTGTGAAGTGCTAAGAATCTGTTGGCCTCTCAATCACTCCAGAATAGAGGTCATTCATTCGTTGAAATTGTTAAAATTAGGCAATGCGTACAAAATCTGTGACTGCTAAGAAAGCCCACATTATAACCTGGACCTGTTTCTTCTGAAGCTCTTTGGTCTCCAAGATGGTTGAGGCTAAATTACACCTTCCTCTTTATGTTTTTTGTTTGTTTGTTTGTTTGTTTTTGTTTTTTGAGAGGGAGTCTCGCTGTCTCCCAGGCTGGAGTGCAGTGGCGCGATCTCGGCTCACTGCAACCTCCACCTCCCAGGTTCAAGCCGTTCTCCTGCCTCAGCCTCCCGAATAGCTGGGACTACAGGCGCCTGCCATGATGCATGGCTAATTTTTTTGTATTTTTAGTAGAGACGGGGTTTCACCCTGTTAGCCAGGATGGTCTTGATTTCCTGACCTCGTGATCCGCCCGCCTCGGCCTCCCAAAGTGCTGGGATTACAGGCATGAGTCACCGCGCCCAGCCTTTAATGTTTTTTAACAGTGGTAAAGGAAACAGAACAGCTAGATGACTTTTTTTTTTTTTTTTTGAGATGGAGTTTCCAAGCTGGAGTGCAATGGCGCAATCTCGGCTCACTGCAACCTCCACCTCCCGAGTTCATGCGTTTCTCCTGCCTCAGCCTCCCAAGTAGCTGGGATTACAGGCATGCACCACCATGCCTGGCTAATTTTTTGTATTTTTAGTAGAAATGGGGTTTCACCATGTCAGCAGGCTGGTCTCGAACTCCTGACCTCAGGTGATCTGCCTGCCTTGGACTCCCAAAGTGCTGGGATTACAGGTGTGAGCCACCATGCTCAGCCTAGACGATTTCTTATCAACCAGGGCATATTACAGAAAAGGAAACAAGGAGTTTATTAGTCTAGAAATTCATTCTTATTATATTGATTTTATTTAATTTCTACCTAATTACAGAAGTCTATAATGCAAGTACACTCCAGAGACAGTTAAACCTTTAGAAAATACTCTTAAAAAATTATAGAAAATCACAAGTATATAATACCCTTACAATTATCACCTATATATCCACAGGAGACTCTCAATTTGGAAAACTAAAAGAAAAAGAAGGCCGGGCGCGGTGGCTCAAGCCTGTAATCCCAGCACTTTGGGAGGCCGAGACGGGCGGATCACGAGGTCAGGAGATCGAGACCATCCTGGCTAACACGGTGAAACCCCGTCTCTACTAAAAACACAAAAAACTAGCCGGGCGTGGTGGTGGTCGCCTGTAGTCCCAGATACTCGGGAGGCTGAGGCAGGAGAATGGCGTAAACCCGGGAGGCGGAGCTTGCAGTGAGCTGAGATCCGGCCACTGCACTCCAGACCGGGCGACAGAGCGAGACTCCGTCTCAAAAAAAAAAAAAAAAAAAAAAAAAAAGAAAAAGAAAACCACATATTCAGATAAGACAAAGAAAATAAAACTCTTGTAAGGGATATGAGGTAGAAAGGGAGTGAAGAAAAACCAATAAAGTCTGTTAGCCTTTAAGAAAAAGGTTGGTAAAGCATACATTGGAAATAATGAAGAGACCTTTCCTCTAAGCTTACCCAGTCTGTGGTGAATGGGGCGCCGTTTGCCATCAATGTTCTCACTTCATCATCTTGGCCTTTTCTTGCTGCCTCTAGCAACCTCTTTCCCAAGTCCACCAAAGACATCTTTATGCATAGGAACAAAAGTTTTCAGGTAGCTATAACTCAAACATAAGGAAAGCTGCCAATACATTTTTTTAGAAGACTTCTTATATTTGAATGTATATAATATACATCTCAAGTTGACTGGTAGGTCACTTCCTTTCTATCTCATCTAACACAAGCAATAAAATAGTTGGGAATGTTTCAAGCCCTTATACATAGTTCTATCACTTTCAATCCCCAGAAATACTCTGGAAATATCTGCAACACACTACGACCTTTCTAGTTTAAGGAATCGATAAAACACCATTTCATTCCCCTGAAATGAAGAAAGGTACAATATTATTTTAAGGAACATAACACAAAATAATAAATTATGTAGTTTGATTTCCAGGAAGGGAGCAAGATGGATGCCCACCTGTGAAACTACTGCTTGACGGAAATTATGAGAGCCCTTATTAGCAACTAACTGCTCTCTCTGGAGGTTTGTAGGTCTTTGGATGGCACACTGAAATCGGACACATCGAGGTTTCCAAATAAAACTGTATTGCTCTCTCTTTTTTTTTTTTTTTTTTTTGGAGACTGAGTCTCACTGTATTGCTCAGGCTGGAGTGCAGTGGTGTGACCTCGGCTCAGTGCAACCTCCGCCTCCCGGGTTCAAGCGATTCTCCTGCCTCAGCCTCCTGAGTAGCTGGGATTACAGGCACCCGCCACCATGCCCGGCTAATTTTTGTATTTTTAGTAGAGACGGGGTTTCACCATGTTGGCCAGGTGGGTCTCAAACTCCTGACCTCAAGTGATCCACCCGCCTCAGCCTCCCAAAGTGCTGGGATTACAGGCGTGAGCCACCGCACCCAGCCCAAACTATTACACCATAGTCAGAAGATAAAAACTAGGTTAAGATGCAGTAATGATATAATCATGCTTAAAATTTAAGGAGACAAAGAGGGGTGCAGTGGCTTGGGACTGTAATCCCAGCACTTTGGGAGGTCGAGGTAGGAGGATTACTTGAGCTCACAAGTTTGAGACCAGCCTAGGCAAAATGGTGAAACCCTGTCTCACAAAAAATACAAAAATTGGCTGGGCGCGGTGGCTCGAGCCTGTAATCCCAGCACTTTGGGAGGCCGAGGCAGGCAGATCACCTAAGGTCAGGAGTTTGAGACCAGCCTGGCCAACATAGTGAAACCCTGTCTCTACTAAAAATACAAAAATTAGCCAGGCGTGGTGGCACACGTCTGTAGTCCCAGCTACTTGGGAGACTGAGGCAGGACAATCGCTTGAACCTGGGAGGCGGAGGTTGCAATGAGCCGAGATTGCACCACTGCATTCCAGTCTAGGCAACAGAGCGAGACACTATCTCGAAAAAATAAAATAATAATTTTTAAAAAGATAAAAATTAGCTGAGCATGGTGGTGCATGCCTATAATCTCAGCTAATCGGGAGGCTAAGGTGGGAGGATAACTTGAGCTCAGGAGATGAAGGTTGCAGCGAGCTGAGATTGCACCACTGCACTCTAGCCTGGGTGATAGAGCCAGATCTTGACTCAAAAAAAAAAAAAAAAAGAAAAAATTTAAGAAGAACAAGCCTTTATTGGTTAAACACTGATCTGCTTAGGCCAGTAGTTCAAAAACTATCGTTTATGGACCCCTGGTGGTCCCTGATACCCTTTTAGGGATCTATGAGGTCAGAACTATTTTTATTATAATACAAAAACATTATTTGCCTTTTTTCTTTTTCCATGTTTACATTAGCACTGACGGTACAAATGTAACAGTGGGTATAACTGCTGGTGCCTTAGCATGAATCAGACTGTGCTACTGGTTATTGTATTCTTCACTGCCATGTAATCTCAAGGGAAAATTGCCAGTTCTACTTAGGAGTGTCCTGGATGACAGAGTAAAAATTATTAATTTTATTAAATCTCAACACCTGAATATATGTGTTTATAATTTATGTGTGACAAAATGAGAAGTATACATAAAGCACTTTTTTTTTTTTTTTGAGACATGGTTTCACTCTGTCACCCAGGCTGGAGTGCAGTGGGCACAATCACAGCTCACTGCAGTCCTGACCTCCTGGGCTCATGGGATCCTCCCATCTCAGCTTCCCAAGTAGCTGGGACTACAAGCACACACCACCATGCCCAGCTAATTTTTGTATTTTTTATAGATATGGGGATTCACAATATTACTCAGGCTGGTCTCAAACTGCTGGGCTCAAGCGATCGACCTACCTTGGGCCCCCAAAGTGTTAGGATTACAGGCATGAGCCACCACACCCGGACTCTTCTCTACCCTTTTGCTCAAATGACAATTATATTGTACCCACCATTCTGCATGATCTTTCCATAGCAATAGAATCCCAAAGTGTTGGGATTACAGGCGTGAGCCACTGTGCCTAGCTGACTTAAATTACTTCTGCTGCTTACTGAAACATGATGGTTTTCTTGAGAAAAAGCACTACGTGATTAAGTTGCAAGCTAAAATAACTGTTTTTGGCCAGGCGTGGTGGCTCATGCCTGTAATTCCAACACTTTGGGAGGCCCAGGCAGGCAGATCACCAGGTCAGGAGATCGAGACCATCCTGGCTAACACGGTGAAACCCCGTTTCTACTGAAAAAAAAAAAAAAAAAAAAAAATTAGTCAGGCGTGGTGGCAGACGCCTATAGTCCCAGCTACTCGGGAGGCTGAGGCAGGAGAATGGTGTGAACCCTGGAGGCGGAGCTTGCAGTGAGCCAAGATTGCACCACTGCACTCCAGCCTGGGTAACAGAGCGAGACTCCGTCTCAATAAATAAATAAATAAATAAATAACTGCTTTTATCATGGAACATCATTTTATTTTATTATTATTTTATTTTTTAGCAGAGTTTTGCTCTTGTCACCCAGGCTGGAGTGCAATGGTGTGATCTCGGCTCACTGCAACCTCTGCCTCCCAGGTACAAGTGATTCTCCTGCCTCTGCCTCCCAAGTATCCACAATTACAGGCACCCACCACCATGCCCAGCTAATTTTTGTATTTTTAGTAGAGAGATGCTGGCCAGGTTGGTCTCGAACTCCTGACCTCAGGTGATCTGCCCACTTTGGCCTCTCAAAGTGCTGGGATTACAGGCGCAAGCCACCACAAAAGTGAGTGGCACAAAGTGAGTGGCAGCTCACTTTGTTCATTTTTTATTTTATTCATTTATTTATTATTTTTTTTTTTTGAGATGGAGCCTCGCTCTTGTTGCCCAGGCCAGAGTGCAGTGGCGAGATCTCGGCTCACTGCCAACCTCCACTGCCCAGGTTCAAGCAACTCTCTGTCTCAGCCTTCCGAGTAGCTGGGATTACAGGCATGCGCCACCACGTTCGACTAATTTTTCTGTACTTTTAGTAGAGACGGGGTTTCGCCATGTTGGTCAGGCTGTTCTCGAACTCCTGACCTCAGGTGATCTGCCTGCCTCAGCCTCCCAAAGTGTGGGATTACAGGCAGGAGCCACCGCGCCCAGCCAACTGACAGTATTTATTGCCAATTATCAATTATAATTTGAGCCTTCAAGCAAAAATTAGAATTTTGGAAAATCTATAACCACTGCCATCAACTTGGTAACTTACAATAAAGACTTTTCTGATGAAATAAGTGGTAATATTAATGAATGTGATTTTTTGATATTGTATAATAAAATGCATCAATATTTAGATGACCTATACAATTTGGTGAACCAATACTTTCCAAATGACCGGTGTTTGATGTTATAAAATCATACACAAGTAAAACAATTCAAAGTGAAAGATCAATGGGTTTTAAGGTCACAGAATACAAAAATTCACTGATGTGATTTCAAATTCCTCATTGCAACTAACTTTTTCTCTCTTTTTTTTTTTTTTTTTTGAGACAGGGTCTTTTTCTGTTGCCCAGGCTAGACTGCAGTGGTATGATCATAGCTCACTGCAGCCTGGAACTCCTGGGCTCAAGCAATCCTCCATCCTCAGCCTCTTGAGTAGCTAGGACTACAGGTGCACACAACCCTGCCTGACTAATTTTTTAGTTTTTTGTAGAGGTGCAGTTTTGTTATATTGCCCAGGCTGGTCTCAAACTCCTGGCCTCAAGCAATCCTCCTGCCTTTGTGCAACTAACTCTTAAGAAATTACCACTTGTTGGCCTGGCGCGGTGGCTCATGCCTGTGATCCCAGCACTTTGGGAGGCCAAGGTGGGTGGATCACAAGGTTAGGAGATCAAGACCACCCTGGTTAACACGGTGGAATCGCGTCTCTACTAAAAATACAAAAAAAAAAAAAAAGAAAAAAAAAATTAGCCAGGTGTGGTGGTGGCGGGCACCTGTAGTCCCAACTACTCGGGAGGCTGAGGCAAAAGAATCGCATGAACTCGGGAGGCGGAGCATGAAGTGAGCCCAGATCGCACTACCGCAATCCAGCCTGGGCAACAGAGCGAGACTCCATCTCAAAAAAAAAAAAAAAAAACAAAGAAATTACCATTTGTCAGCCGGACACAGTGGCTTACACATGTAATCCCAGCACTTTGGGAGGCCAAAGTGGGTGGATCATCTGAGGTCAGGAGCTCGAGATCAGCCTGGCCAACATGGTGAAACCCCGTCTCTACTAAAAGTACAAAAATTAGCTGGGCATGGTGGCACATGCCTGTAGTCCCAGTTACTTGGGACGCTGAGGCAGGAGAATCGCTTGAACCGAGGAGGCGGAGGTTGTGGTGAGCTGAGATCGCACCACTGCACTCCAGTCTGGGCAACAGGATGAGATTCCGTCTCCAAAAAAAAAAAAGAAAAAAGAAATTACCACTTGTCAAATTTTTGTGTAGTATCAAAGAAGAATACTCACTGTTACTGGAAAAAGTTATTATAATACTCTTTCCTTCTACAAGTACATATTGTAACAGACAGAATGAAGTAGATGTAAGAATGCAGCTGTCAGCCGGGTGCAGTGCCACACGCCTGTAAACCTAGCACTTTGGGAGACTGAGGCGGGCAGATCACCTAAGGTCAGGAGTTCCAGAGCAGCCTGGCCAACATGG